GCTTCTTAGTGCTGTGCTTTAACCAGCTGCGCCACCAGGGAGGGCCTATACTATTTTTTTTAAAGAATAAGTCAATTCAGTTTTTAAATTAAATGAGTCCCTACTTTTGCTCTCCTGCATAAATTTCTGAAGTTTTTCCTTTCATAACATGTAAAAACAATTACTCCCCCAAATATTAATCTTTTGATTTTTGCCTTTCCAGGATTTCTGTCCTTAGTTACACTAATTTTCTCAAACTACATTCCCAATAAACTATAACATGAATCGAAATAGAACCAAATGAGTGGCTTGTGCAATACCATGCTTATTCTCGCTGATTACACAGTTCAGGGTCATATAAAATCAGGGAGAGTTAGGGTGTGAACTACCTAGAAATACGGAACTAATAACTTATTTAAAATTTTTTTATTTTATTTATGCATGCATGCAAGAACTGGGGTGTAGACCAGAGGTGTAGGGGTGAGAGGATTCACCAGAGACAGAACGGGAAGCAGAAGAAATACAATGAGGGGAACAGCAGTCTGAAAGACAGGCGACGTCTGCTGTGCCATGTGTCTGGGAAGAGAACTCTGACACAGTATCTGACATTAACTTGACCACGCTGAGACTCACCTCTGGTACAGGACAGAGGTGCAGGGGTGGGGAGAAGATTCACAGAATAGGGAGCAGAACAAGCACAGTGACGAAGTATACTGCTGAGGGGAGCAGTGGACAAGAAAGAAGTGTTCTGCACTACGAGGGTCACCTCCCTGGCCGGTGATTGAACTCATGCCAACGTACCTGCAGCTAGCTTCATTTTATAGTGTGCCACCAAGGAAAGGCCCCCTAGATAACTATTTTTATAAAGAAAGAACTGAGGGAGGTTTTGTATAGATGGCAGAGAGACAGGTTGAATAAAACATAAAAACGTTTCATAACTAAGTATGATACACATATGTAGTTACTCAATTTCAAAGTAAGGAAATTAAATTAACCACAGAGCTATTATAAAAAGAACTAAGGCATGAATAGACAAAAATCTATACAACAGAATAATCTAGAAGTAGATCTTAATGCACCCAGGAGTGCAGCACTGAAAAAAGTGCATTTCAAATTAATAGCACAGTTGGTGAACTACATGAGAAAAAAAAAATGTATTTCATGCCTACATAAATTCCATGTAATGAATGTAATGATGCACATTTGAAATCTATATAATGTTACAATGCATTGCTACTTAAATTTTAAAAAATTTTAAGTAAATACTACATGATTCAAGGCTTAAAAAGAAACTATAAAAGCATATCACAAAATCTGAAGAAGAAGTTTCTTGGCAAGACATAAAACTAGTAAATTATAAAGAAAAAATTTAAATATGACAAAATAATTACAGCACAAATTTATCTATGTGCATTTCTTAAAGGTGATAATAATAACCAAGCAAAATGAAATAGTTTGTCAAAATACCTGTAAAAAATGTGCCAGGACCATGTTCATATACATGTCTTCTTCCTCTCTGCCACTACCCATAAAACACAGGTGCTCTCCACCAGCAATAGAGCCAGACTCTATGGACTGCTTCTGTGCTTCCAGCAAAGATTTTACTGACTGTGCAAACTCAGATGGATTCTGCAACATCTAGAAAATTTTAAAAAAATTTAAAAGTATGACAAGACCTGCTTACACATACATTTTTAAAATTTGAAGTGTCTTTCCAGGAAAAAAAAAAATCAATATATAAACAGCCACCAAGTAAACAAAAGGAAAAGAGCACACAAATAAAATTTCCAGGATAAAAGAAATTGTCTAAATGTAACTAATACATTAGAACAAAATTTGAAAATTCACAGAAAGAGTAAATTATGCAGAGAATACTACAAAAAAGGCACAGTAAAAATCCAATAGAAAGTAGATAAACCAATAAAGAACAGTTAAAAAAAATCGATAGAACATTTGACAAAAGATATTGGTTCAACACATTAATAATTACCACTGTTTTTAACTTACCATTCCTGTGAAATGAAAAATATTGGGAAAATCCACTAATTCTGATGGTGCGAGACAATATTCTCATTTGTAGTTGTAAAATCCAGCCTTTTCAAAGAACAGTATGATAGTCTCTGTAACATTTTATATGATCCACATTTCCTCAACTCAACTTTTAGGAGTCTAATTTAAAGATTTTGTTTTTTATAGAGGTGCAGGGCTAGGATGAGAGGATTCACGAGAGACAGAGTGGGGAGCAGGACAGGCGTACTGACTGAAATGCACTGCACTGCTGAGGGGAGCAATGGGCAAAACAGGAAAGTCTGCTGTGCCATGTGGGTTAGCTCCCTGGCCAGCGGGGATAAAATTTGTGCTACAGTGGCTGGCAATAGCTTGATAGTGATGTCTTTAGCCCCTGTGCCATACAGAAGGGCTCTAGGAATATATTTTATAGAAGTATTTCAACAAGATCACAAAGTATATGTAAGGATATTTACTGTAGCATTTTTTTTTATTATAAGAAAACTGAAAACAACCAAAATGTACATCAACTAGGCAATTAATTATGGTATATTTATACAGTGAACCACTACATAGCCTTAAAAAAGAATGTATTTAAATGGAAAGCCCTTCATCCAGTGAACTGTTAAGTGAAAAAGCAAGTAAAAAAAAATAGTAAACAAGAAATATATAAATGCATGGTGAAGGTCTACAAGATTAAACAAGCTGGTAATAATAATCAACTTAAGTCTGAATTTTTTAAAGAATCATTACAGTAAAATCTTACTCATAAACTTAGGACCATCTAAAGCTGCCTAGATGAATCAAAAAAGAGGAAGGCATGGAATTCACTTTCAGGATGCAAGCAAGCTAGGATCACCTCCTCACCTACAGCACTCAAAACTCTGGGTTGTTTTACCTTCATTTCCCATGAGGTTTCTCTCAAATACCATCTAGGCTCTTCTACAAGCTTTTCAGTCTCAGCATCAACTTTTTCATACAAGTGGATAAGAAGGGCACATTTCATAGGCAGCAAAAGGGGTTATTCCTTTTTAGTCCTCCCTATCTCTGAGGTTCTCCTAACTCTAGGATAGCTTAAATAAATCAGTTCTTGTTCTAATCACTGTCCTAAGCATACCTGACAATAATTATTTTACTTCATCCACTCTTTCAATTAATGTGACTCTCGGATAGCAATTTTAACAACTGAGCACTTATATGCCAAATAATATCCTTATTAGATGATTTTATTATGTATGTAAGTATTCATAATAAAAATAAAAGGCTTATAGCAAAACTTTTCAAAATTCTTAATTATAAGAGCTAGTATTAACAGAGTACTTACTCAGTGCAAGGAACTATGCTATTTGCTAAATCAAGTAGGTCATAGTAACAAGTTTAGAATTTACTGACATAATAATGGTAAGCAATCACAAGCCACAATGCTTTCACCTATCCTTTATGATATCAAAAAAGGCATGCTAGGTGATAAGGAAATCTAAGCACAACACTTCTTATAAAGGTAAAGAATTCTTCCTTATACAGACAGAAAAACATCCCCAAACTGGTATGGGCAAAAGAAAAAAGTTATTTCTTCTTTGACTTTGTATTTATACTAACCAGATCTGAATCTAAGTGGAAGGCAGTTGATAAATGTCCAGCATTATACTGTTCAGCAGGACGACAATCCACCACAAAGAATCGGACTCCTTCCTAAAAGGGAAACAGCACTTAGCATACTGTAATTTGCCATGAGGGTTATATTTTACACAATATAATAACAACTGACCAAGAGGGAGGGCCCAATCAGTACAGGAACAGAAACCTGAAGATATTAAATAATTTGAATCATTTAAAATAGTTAAAACATTCTGTACATGCTGTTTCTGAATGGAAAGTCTTATAATATGTAAAAGTGGAATATCAGTTTGAGGTATAAAACCTTACTAGAATTAAAAATTTCTAAGTATATCATATCAAATGACTTTTAAAAAACTATAATTACAAACAAATCTAGTCACAATTCTTATCTCTACAAATAACTTCACAAACTTATCAATAATTTAATTCACACCAGAAATGTCTTTTGTGGATGAGAGGTGTCTATAAACTGATGAAATTCTCATGGGTCTCTGAATTATATGACTTCACATAATATTTCTGATCAGAAAACTAGTTTTTTGAAAATTCTGAAAACCAATTCAGATAAACAAGCAGCTGAGAAAAATCTATAGTGAAACACTTATCTTTCTATGTTCACTTTTTCCTGTACCTTGAAAATATACCTGCCTTCCAAAAACACATACCCATCATTAACTGTACCACTACTACTGATAAAGAATATATTTTGAAAAACACCACTAGTTAAATTGACTCTCTTGATTTCTATAAAGATAATAGACAGAAATGGCATATTTCTTCACTCTCCTTTGTTGTATGTTTTATGGCAGTACAGCATGTATAATTTACTCAGAATCTAACTATTAAATGTTAAATTTAATCTTTTCAGTACTTTATAGGATGGAACATTCAGTTGCCTTGTCAAATTGAGAAAAGATTTTTAACATCAAGAACTGGTATCAAAATAATTGTTGAGAGCAAATGTAACATACAGCTGACAGCTTTAAATGACCATTTGGACAGAAAATTTAACACATTTATCACTCAAAGCAAAACAGTTACACTGTTGTAGTAAATTAATTTTGCAAGAAATCAACAAATGGGAAATGTTGGTTCCATGCATTTAAGAGATAGTCCTCTGATTTTCCTTACCCCTTGCAGTTGATTTGCTTGAAGGATCTCTGACACTGAGATAGCCAGACAAAGAGCCTGACTCAGATCTGCATCATCATCCTTAATTCCTAACAAAGTACTACCAAATAGGTGGTGATTATCCTGTTTGAAGAGAAAAATTTAAAAACATTATTAAGAAAAAATAGAAGTATCTTCCCAAAAGTAATTTTATTAGGTCATTATAAAAGGTAAAATAATTGTATACTACTTTTGAGGAATATCATTTTTAAAATTTAATATTATAGCAGCATAAATATTATAGGCAAAAACCTTTATGTCCTTCTTAGAGTTCATACAAATGAAGCAAAGGCATTTATTTTCTACACTATTATTTTCTACACTATTTATTTATTTTCTACACTATTACTCATAGATAATACTAAATTTCAAAAATTATTACTCATAACTTCTCATATTTTAAATAAACAAAATGTGGTGTGCATTTCATTATAAAATGATCTAACACCTGGCCTAAATGTAGATTATTTATTATATTCTGGGGAAAACAACTGATTTTCTTAAAAGACTGAAGAGTAAAGACTTTTTTCCCCATCCATTCCCTAAACAACATTCCAGTGGTTTGACTTTCTCAACAGTGTTTGGAGCCAATAATGCAATTATTAAAGTAATAGCAATTAGTTCCTAGAAACATCTTTCTTTAACTCATTAAATTTGAAGGAAATGTTAAAAGTCTCCCTTACCTGCCTTCTAAACACACTACACTGTACAAAATTTAACCTCATTTTGATGTTTCAGTGACATGATGATTCACCACCTAGCAATTATTTTGGTGGAATACCTTTAAAAAAAAGATAGTAAAAAAAAAAAAAAGATAGTAATTCTCTTATGGGCACAAGTCACAAATAAACCTGTTAGCCTAAAAAATGGTACATTTGATTTACAAAATACAATAGAGGGTCTCAATAGTAGACACATGTAAATAATGAAGAGAATTCACAAGCTTGAAACCACAGGGGCAGAGAACACAAACAGAAAAATACAGAGAAAAAAACAAATAGAATATAAGTGCTCTTTGGGATCAACTAAAGGGAAATCATATCTGTATCATGGAGATCTCAAGAGAAAAATATGATAAAATTTATATAAGAAAATAATTGCAGAAAATCATCTGACTCTTGGAAAGAGGGCCCCAAAGAGATCCAAACTAAATAATACCACCTAGACATTTTAAGATACATTATAATTAAAGTACTGAAAGCCAATGACCAGGCAGAATATTAGAAGCATTGAGAGAAAGAAGAGTAATTTATGAGAAAATAATTATAGACCATTTTGTAGACTTTCCAGTAGAAACTTTATAGGCAAGAAGGAAATGACAAGAGAGATTCAAAAATCTAAATTTCCAGTTCAGAATATTTTATCCTGCAAGGCTATCATTCAGGACAGAAGAGGATGGGTTAGGAATTTCACAGAAAAGAAAAATGCTAAAAAAAGAAATGAAAGGAAATACTAAAGGGGCTACTATAACAACAAGCCAAATTATGTGGCCAATCAGGACAAGTTGGAGATCAAACGATTTCATGGGCCATTTAAATAGTCCACCATACACTAATCTCAACAGAAACTTCATTTAAAAATCAATAGAAATAGCACATAAGACAAAGGAAACAGTACTTTAAAAAAACATTAAGATATCACAAGTAAAAAGACAAAATCAATTTTTTTTAAATATTGGAATCTCAGTATTTGTTTCAATAATCTCACAAGAAGTAAATAGCCTGAATTCACCAATTAAAAGGTATAGAGTGGTGAGTTTCAAAACACCAAAAATCAAAACAAAGTTTCAAAACACAGTCCAACTCCAACTTCCTATATACAGAAAACTCCTCTTATAACCAATGACAAGCATAAACTTAAAGACAAGCAAATGGCAATCAAAAGGAAAAAAGTCAGGAAAAGCTATACATACATCAGATAAAACATACATCAGATAAAACAGATAGCCATTACGATTAAGGTAGAAGAAATAACACATAAGTTAATATTCATCAAATGGTAGAGTACCAAGATAGAATCTCACTCCAATCAGAAAGACTTATCAGAAAGTTAAGAAAAAATAATTATTGGTGAGGAGGTGGAGAAAAAGAAATCCTTCTCCACTGCTGTGGAAATATAAACTGGTATAGCGATTATGGAAAACAATAAGGAGGTTCATCAAAAAATTAAAATAGAACTATCATATGGTTCAGTAAGCCCAACTCTACACTTTCATCCAAAGAAAATAACACTTGCAAAGAAAATGACATGTAACTTGGAAAGACATATGTCCCCCTATAGTCACTGCAGCACAATCTACATAATAACAGAAGAATACAGATGTGGTATATATACAAAATAGAATGCTACTCAGCCATTAAAAATAATGAAATCGGGCCCTCCCTGGTGGCGCAGCGGGTTAAAGCACAACACAAACAAAGAAGCTTAAACCATTTCTGCATGAGTTCAATTCCTGCCTGCCCCGGAGGTGATCCACATGGCGAGGCAGACCTCTCCTGACCCGCCCGCTGCTCCTCTCAGCAGTGTACTTTGTCGATCTGCCTGTTCTGCTCCCCACTCTGTCTCTGGTGAATCTTCTCACCCTCCGCATCTCTGACCTGTACCCCAGTTCTGTATGAATAAATAAATAAATCTTTAAAAAAAAAAATGAAATCCTGTCATTTATGATAATATAAGTAGACCTTCAGGGGATTATTCTAAGTGAAATAAGACTGAAGGTGAAGGGCAAATACCACATACTTATTAGTGGAATATAAAGAAAACGAAAAAAGAAACAAAACTGATACCTCAATTAAATAAAACAGTAACAGTGGAACAAAATTACAATCCACAGTGATAAAAATAGGTCCATTAATATATTAGTATATAATTCAAGAAAAACGAGCCAAAACCATACAATGGGTAGTCTCTTTAACAAACAGTGCTGGGAAAACTGAAAGACCACACATGTAAATGAAAGAAGCTGGATCACTCTCTACTGCATGGATTAAAGACTTACTATAAGACCTGCAACAATAAGACATATAGAAGAAAATGTTAGCTATAGATTTCACAACATGAATGATAATGAACCCTGAATGATACTTCTGGAGACTCAATCCCTATGGCAAGGGAAACAAAAGCAAAAATAAACAATTAGGATCACCTCAAATTAAAAGCATTTACAGAGAAAAAGAAAATATAGGTAGATTAAAAACACATCTTACCAAATAGGAGAAAACACTCACATATTACACAACTGACATGGCTTAATATCTAGGTTATATAAAATATAGTCAACTTAATAATTTAAAAAATCCTGATTAATAAGTGGGTAGCAGATCTGAACAGATAATTTGCCAAAAAGGATATCCAGAATGACAAGAAATACATGGAAAAATGTTCAACATCATTTTTAATGAGATGCACGTCAAAACCACAATGAGAGATCATCTGACAACAGTGAGAATGGCATATATTAAAAGACCCCCAACAAGTGTTGGCGATGTAGAGAAAGAGGAACCCTGTAAATCTGTTGGTGAAAACATACGCTGATGCAGCCATTTAGGTAGTGGCCTGGATTTACCTTAAAAAACTAAAAGTGGAAATACTGTATGACCCAGTAATCCCAATCTCAGACAGCCATCCAAAGAACATGAAACCATCAATTAATTGTACACTACCATGTACAATAGCTAGGACATGAAATAACCCAAGTGACCACTGATAGAGGATTAGATCAAAAAGATATGATATAGAACAGTGCACTATTCTGTCATTCTGTCATAAAGAAAGATGAAATGTTGCCATTTACAGGAAAATAGAAGTTTCAGGGAACTATGTGTTAGGAAAAAAATCACAATGACAAAACAAATACTGGGTGTTTAGGTAGCAGACAATCAGACAAAGCAAAATACAATAGACACTAATAAAATAGTGAAGTTTCTGGAACTAAGAGGAAGGTGGGAAGGTCCAAAGAATCAAGTGGTGGTGGAAGTGAAGGAAAGAGTCATACAAGTCATGCATGAAAACATTTTTTAACAGTATTGAATTATGCAGTGTTTGCTTTTATCCTATAGGAAACTAAACAGATGAGAGATTCGGGGGAGGGCCAGGGAAGAATAGAAGAGATCGAGAGAGAGATGATACTTCTATGACTCCCTTCACTGTTAGTGTTTGCTTTTATGAGTTTCACTTTCTAGGCACTCACACCACTCAGGCTTTTCTCACGAAAGCAATGTGTCTGGTTTGAGAAAGGTTCTAGTCTCTACAGAGTTAAATAGCCCTTTTTGTGTACAAGACAGCTCTGCTTCACATCAAGTTGTGAAAAGCTGAAAGATAAAGAAGACATAACTATACATCCTCATTCAATTTTTGTAACACAATTTTTTAAGTCAAGAAAGCATTTAAGAGCCTCCCTGGTAACTCAGGGATTAAGTCTCAGTGTTATATCAACACTATGGTCTGAGTTCAATTCCTGGCCAGGGAGCTAATATGCAGCAGCAGATCTCTCCTATGTCACCCACTGCTCTCCTTCAGCAATTTATTTCAATAAATCCACCTGCTATGCTCCCCACTCTCTGGTGAAACCTCTCACCACCAATACCTCTGGTCTACACCCCATTTCTTCTACTCAAAAATAGAAATAAAATCTTAAAAAAAAAAGAAAGCATTTAAGAAATACCTCAATTTTCTCATTGAGATTTGTTTACATTTTTTTTTTTAAAGATTTATTTATTTATTCGTACAGAACTGGGGTACAGGCCAGAGATGCGGAGGGTGAGAGGCTTCACCAGAGACAGAGTGGGGAGCAGAACAGGCAGATCGACGAAGTACACTGCTGAGGGGAGCAGCGGGTGGGTCAGGAGAGGTCTGCCACACCATGTGGTCACCTCCGGGGCAGGCGGGAATCGAACTCATGTGGAAGTGGCTTTAGCTTCTTAGTGCAGTGCTTTAACCCGCTGTGCCACCAGGGAGGGCCCTGTTTACATTTTTTTAATGTGTGTATTTCTCCACTATGGAGAATATGTACAGTAAAAATCACACAAAACTAACACATAAAGACAGAAAGATTAAAAACCTAGAGTATTCAACTGAAATACATACAGCATAAACCACAGAATAATGTACAAAAGTAAAAGTCTTAATAGCTGATCATTTCTTGTCTTATACCTTCCTAAAGGAAGCTGGTGTTTTACTGCAATAATACTGTGCCAGAGAGAAAAGGTCTTCTATATCTTCTAGATTCAAACTGGAGGGTGTATTTTCCAAGAACTCTGAAATAGGATTAAATACATTTTTATAATCATTAGCTCAGAATAATAAATATTATTTATGTATTAAGGTTAAAATATCATCACATAAAAAAACTGTATAAATGGAATCTCGATGGCAATATCTTTTTAAAAATATATATAATAGTTTATTTTTACATCATTTTGTGCATTTTTTCATCTCAATTGTAATCCCTGTGAGCTTCCCATCACCAAATCACCCCTGTGTCATCACTAAAGTCCAGTGCATTTCCTTCCCCCCCCCCCACCGTTTTTGATCCCATTCCCCACTTCACCCCTTTAAAATGTCTCTGGTATATAGCTGTTCATTATTATTATTATTTTCTCGCCTGGTCCATTATACTCGTGCTATGAGTGAAACCATCCGGTATTTTTCCTTTTCTTTCTGACTTATTTCACTAAGCATGATCTTTTCCTGCTTCATCCATGTTGCTGCAAAAGGCATGTGTTGTTTTTTCTTTTTTTTTTTGGTTGCTGAGTAATATTCCATTGTGTATATGTACCACATCTTTTTAATCCAGTCATCTACTTTTGGGCATTTGGGCTGTTTCCATGTTTTTCCAATGGTAAATAAAGCAGCAATAAACATGGGGGTGCAGCTATCTTTTTTAATCAGTGTTTTTGTGTCTTCTGGGTAGATACCTGGGAGTGGGATTGCTGGGTCATATGGAAGCTCTATGTTTAGCAGTTTGAGGAACTTCCAAAAATGTTTCCATAGAGGTTGCACTCGTTTGCATTCCTACCAGCAGTGCAGGAGAGTTCCTTTTTCTCCATGTCCCTCGCCAACATTTGTTGTTGCTAGTTGTTTGAAGATGTGCCACTCTCACTGGGGTGAGGTGGTATATCCCATTGTGGTTTTAATTTGCATCTCCCTTATTACAAGAGATGTTGAACATTTTTTCACATGCTTGTTGACCATCTGTATTTCCTCTTTGGAGAAGTGTCTTTTTAGCTCTTCTGCCCATTTTTGATGGGGCTGTTTATTTTCATCAGTTCTATGTATAGCCATGTGATCAATTCTTTATCACTAGTTTTTTGTGCGAAAATTTTTTCCCAATCAATGGGATGTCTTTTTTGTAAAGCCTGTTTTGCTGCACAGAAGCTCTTTAACTTGATGTAGTTCCATCTATTTATCCTTGCCTTCACTATTGTTGCATTGGGTGTTGTATCTTTAAAAGTGTCGCTGAATTGTATGTTGTGTAGTGTTTGGCCCATCTTTGTTTCCAGAAATTTTATGGTTTCCATTCTTATGTCTAGGTCTTTAATCCACTTTGAGTTGATTTTTGTGAGGCAGTGATCTAGTTTCATTTTTTTGCTTTTAGCTTTCCAGTTTTCCCAGCACCACTTGCTGAACAACTTTCTTTGTACCACTGTATCTTCTTTTCTCCTTTATCAAAGATTAGCTGCCTATAAACCTGTGGTTTATATCTGGGTTTTCTATCCAAATCCACTGGTCAGTATGTCTGTTCTTGTTCCCATACCATGCAGTTTTGATTATTATGGCTTTGTAGTATAGTTTGAAGTTTGGGAATGTAATGCCTCCATTCTCTTTCTTCTTAGTCATGACAGTTTTGACTATTCAGGGTCTTTTGTTGTTCCATATGAACTTCATCAATATTTTTTTCTATTTCTTTGAAGAATGTCATTGAGACTTTTATTAGAATGGCATTAAATCTGTATATCACTTTTGGTAGGATGGCCATTTTGATGATATTAATTCTCCCCACCCATGAACAAGGGATGTCTTTCATGGTGTCTTCTTTTAGCAGTGTTTTGTAATTTTCTTTGTATAGGTCTTTTACCTCTTTTGTTAGGTTGATTCCCAGGTATTTTATTCTTTTTGTTTTAATTGAAAAGGGGATTTTTTTTTTTTCCCTGCTTCTTCTGATTGGTTTTGTGTACAGAAAGGCCTCTGACTTTTGTGTATTGATTTTATTTCCTGCTACCTTGCTAAACCGGTTGATGGCTTTGATTAGTTTGTCTGTGGGATTTTTAGGGTTTTCCACGTAAATTAACATATCGTCTGCAAATTATTTCTTCTTTCCCTATTTTGATTCCTTGTGTGTCTTTTTCCTGTCTTATTGCTCTGGCTAGAACTTCCAATGTTATGCTGAAGAGCAGTGGCGATAGTGGACACCCTTGTCTTGTTCCTGATCTGAAAGGACAGGCTTTCAGCTTTTCTCCATTGAGGATAACATTGGCTGTGGTTTGTCATGGCTTTTATCATGTTAAGGTACGTTCCTTCTATTCCGAGGATTTCAAGGGCCTTAAACATAAATGGGTTTTGAACTTTGTCGAATGCCTTCTCCGCACCTTCAATAGCAGTATCTTTAAAACTATGCAGGTTGATGGGAATTTCCCAAAGGAACTGCCAATGCAATTCTGCAGTAAGTGAATGACTGTGTCAGATAAGCAAATCAAACTCACGAGCCTTGTTCAGAGTACTGTGACTTATTTAACAAATACAATTAAGTACAAGGGCCTCTGCAAAAAAAAAATAAATTACCAATATTTTCTGACTTAAGGAAATTTGCCTTGTGTTGAGAAAGGAAGTAACTAAGTTTGTATAGATGCTGGAGGGTAGAAAACCCAAAAAGAGAACCAAGGTTGCACAATGGAGATACCATGATAGCTGAGTACTGAACGGTAAATTAAGGAAGAAGGACCAGAGAAAGCAAGAGGAACGAACATGTTTTATCTGATGAATGAAACCAGAGAAACAGTATATGGAAAAGAAAGTTTAAAAAAACATGAAGGTATGCATGAGTATGGAAACTCAGAAAAACTATCTTTAAGGATTTTAACTAGAGAACACATAAACCCTGAAGGAACCTCAGCATTCTTTTGGACTAATCTTCTAAATTCATAAATAAGGAAAAGTGAATTTTAAAAAATTAAGTGACTTTAAATGTTTTCTCTATACTGAGTAATACTTACGGATAACATCTTCTTTACTGTCAGACTCCTGAGCCAAAATAACTTCTCTGCAAAAGAGAATCCAATTAATTTAAGTTAAATATTACCAGAGAACTCTGAGAATAGAGAGGAGAAAAATCTAAGCAACCTAATACTTACTTTGAATTAACAAGAATTATTAACATTAAGAAATAAATAAAAAATGGATCTGCTTGTTGTAGATATCCATCCCATATTGCCTGAGTGACTTCAATGGGGCAGTAACATGCAAAAAGACTTCCAAGCTGTAAAAAGGAAATGAAATGAGAGACAAACTATTGGAAATAATTTGTTCTTATAAAAGTACTCTAAAAATACAAGAATAACATTATATTAAATCACCTGCAACACCTGGTATGTAATATGGACCTTAATGTTAGCATATGTAAGCTAAATGCAGAACACGTGGATTCAAAGCACAGTGACGCTACTTACTAGCTGTGTGACTAAGGGCATGTTACTTAACCTCTAAAGCTTCCATTTCTTCTTCTGTTAAAAAAAAAAAAAAACACTACTGCCCATCTTCTACCACTGTTGTGAAAAGAGAAATAATTAATCTAGAATATCTAAAGTCATAGTATAACTACTCACAGAGGTAACTAGCATAATCGTTACACTAGTACTTAACTTACAAGGTAACTGTGAGGATCAAACTAGTAATTTAAGTGAAGTATATCTAATAAAACTTTAATGAAAATATAAATAAGAATTACTTCCAGAGTTTACTTGTTCATCCTTTGAAATAGATAGCCAACATGCATACCCCTCAATACGTTTTGGGAAATCTAAGCTGTTCTACTTCAAGTTTGAGCTGTAAATGTATAAATTTTTTTTAGTGTTCACTTGTGTTTTAAATTGCATGAATTTAACAATGTATTTTGATCATTCAATTTTTACTAGATACAAAAACACTTCCACCTACAGGGATAAATTTAAAACATTTTAAATGACTAGGGAGCTAATAAGTATATATAATACATATTTTGTGCCAGGTACTAAAATACTGTAATATATCGCTTATTAAGATGTTTCTCATTTTAAGTATCCTTACAACAGATCTTCAAAGTAAATCTCTTCCTTCCTATTTAACAGGTAAGGATATGAACTTGTGTTAAAAGAGCCTTCACAAGCTCACAGAGCTATCAAATGATGGTGGTCAGACTAGAATAAATCCTAAGAATCCACAGCCCCATGAAAATGCCATCATATTTGGCCACAGAGTTTTTTTTAAAGTCTGTAATGCTATTATTAATATTTTTGTTGTCTTAAAAATTGCCATTACAAACATAGATTGCAAGATAAAAATACAACTAACAATTCAAAAACATCATTAAAGACACTTAGTTAACTAAAGCTGACATTGCAATGCTCATGGGTATGGGTTCTCAAGGCTCAGAAATTAGTTTTAATTGTTTCACCTTAAGACTTGAACAAAAAAGACTAATTTCTAACAGATACTAGTAGAAGGAACAAACTTTTTGGGGAACCTACTAAAGAAAAACCAGTCGTTTTAGAACTAAATCAAAATTTGCTACCAACACCAAGGATTAACCCAGAATTCTTGAAATAGAAGTAATCCCATCATCCTCTAAAATAGGCACCATAAATTCCCATTTTACATAGAAGAAAGTGAAGTACAGAGATTGTATCTTAAATCACATAGCTAATGATTTGTAGAAATGGGATTCTTTCTGAAGAATAGTTAGACAAGATCTAGGAATGTTTAATTTTTAAATATATACTCTTCTAGCATACAATCACTGTTTCAGACAGTTATTCAAGTTAACCTAGAAGAGCAATTCTGAGATCCACAAAAGTTCATAAGAATTCGTAATTTCCTATTAATAAATAGGGAAGTCCGTAATGTCACAAGTATTTTCATAACAATATTTAGGCTTTATCTGATTTGCCATACTCATTCTCTCACAATTAGAAAACAGGATTTTCCAAAAGCTACATGATATATAGTATCATCAGAGATTTACTAGTCAAACATAGGAGATTTACAAAAATATAAAATAATACCATAATTCTCACTAATTCTTTTAGGAAATACAGCTATTTTTCATTTAAAATATAGGTTATTTATGTTCACATACAAAGGATATATTACTTCTAAATGAATAAAGAATATTTTAAATTTCTGATCATTAATTTCTAATTAACATAATCCATACCAACTATGGATCTTCAATAAATGTTGGTTGCAAGAGGTCCTGAGACCAAAAGGTTTGAGAACCACTGACCCAGAATAATAAAACTTTCCAATGAAAACGTAAACAAAGAATGACAGAGCACTTAGATGTACTTTATGTATTTCTGTATAAATCATTTGATAATCTTAAGTCACGGAAGGGTCTCAGTTATTATATGACCATCAACAATTTAATCACACAGATAGGTAAATATGTGACATATATTTATAAAACTAAGGCTAAGTTTTATATTCAATAAGCTCAACTAACTTTTTTTTTTTAAAGATTTATTTATTTGTACATACATAAGTGGGGGACAGGCCAGAGGCGCAGGGTGGTGAGAGGCTTCACCAGAGACAGAGTGGGGAACAGAACAGGCAGGTCGACGAAGTACACTGCTGAGGGGAGCAGCGGGCAGGTCAGGAGAGGTCTGCCACGCCATGTGGTCACCTCCGGGGCAGGCAGGAATCGAACTCATGCGGAAGTGGCTTTAGCTTCTCCGTGCTGTGCTTTAACCCACTGCACCACCAGGGAGGGCCCTCAACTAACATTTTGAAAAGAGTATTTCTGGGCTCTCCCTGGTGGCACAATGGGTTAAAGTGCAGCACTACAAAACTAGCTGCAGTTGCTTAGGCAAATTCAAACGCTGGGCAGGGAGGTGATCCATGTGGTGCAGCAGATGTCTCCTGTCTTACCTGCTGCTCTCCTCAGCAGTGTACTCATCATATTGCCTGTTCTGTTTCCCGCTCTGTCTCTGGTGAATCCTCTTATTGCCCCTGCATCTCTAGCCTGTACCCCAGTTCTGTATGCACAAATAAATAATTTTTTAAAGGCATTTCTGAAGTGCCAATAACTTTATTCCTTTGGTTTAAAAAGTGATGGTCTATAATTTAGGGGAAACAGCCTAACTCCTATAGTTTATAGAAATCTATTTTTCATTAAGTGTTCCTACTTTCACTTTATTACCCAGTTGAGTGCATAGGAGTCTGGAGTAATTTTCTTTGTATCAAGAAAAGAACAAAGCTCAGGCTCATGGTACTGGATGAGTAACCGGAAAAGATGAAATGGTCTCCCTTTCAGCAAACAATCCCTAGAAAACAAGAGAAGAAAGGTTTCTTGCATTAATAGTTCATATTAGTAACCAATACCCCCACAAAACTACCTTCTCTCCTCCCCACCATAACACTTGAACACCACAGCATTCATAAGTACCTGATATAACCATGCAAGGATAAATCTTGCTAACACCTTTAATACATCTTTTTTGAGAGAAAATTTGTAGAAGTAGCTGGTCTCTTCAATAATTTTTATTAATGGAATTAATAAATTAATGGTGACAACATTTTCAGACTAAAAACATAACTTACCAAAATATACTAAAAAGGAACTTATACTTTCAGAGAGTAGGAGAATCCTGTAGGGAACCCAGAGTCTTAGAAGCTGTTTAAGTGACCCAGATATCAAGTGTTCAGAGTGAACTCCAGAAGGTGTCAAACACTAACCTTACTAAATAATTTTTCCTACTTCTTGCCTGGTTCCTTTGTGTCTCAAAGTACAGAAAATCATCATAAAAGTCTGTATTTATTCAGAGGAAATTCCATGTTCCAGACACTTCACAAAGTTATCTCATTTCAACTTTATAAGCAAACCTATGAAATGGACACTATTATTATCATTCCTATTTTCAGATACAAAAACTAAGACTGAATTGTGATCAAGTAGTCTACTCAAGGTCACACAGCTATCATGTGATGAAGCTAAGAATTATACACAGAAACTGGGCATTAAACCATTATGTCATACTAGCCTTCCATATATTTCATTTGATATTCCAGCAAGCAGTATTTTGGTAGTGGACAATCTCTAAAATAGCAAACTGTAAATGGACTGAAATTAGGTAAATGCTTCAGATATAAGAATTAATGAAAAACCCCTCGTTTGGTAAGTCAGGTGTCCAGAAATAGAACTTGATTCATATTGGCAAGATTACTTCTTATCCTTAGTCTGAATATCTTATCTACTTTAAAAATGCAAGGAAATAATGTGCTAAGGCAAAAACACAGAAATAGGCAATGAGTAGAGCAGGTATAAATTGTGAGAATAATTGCTGAGTTTGTGGTGTCACTTTCAAAAAACATGGGATCTCAGGTAATCAGTCAATGCAAAAGCATCCATTCATTTAGTACACTTCCTACTGTAAGACGTCCTCCAGTGAAAGGTTCTGTGCTCGACAGAACTACACCTAGGTTATACATAAATCTTGATAAGGCACATTAAAATTAAGTGCTTTAGGCCGCATTTTTTGGGGCTGTGTACTATTCTGGGGATTAATACTGACCTTCTAGTACTGTTATACATGGAACTCAAAAATAACTATAAACGCATGAAAAGATACTGTTCATGACTCAGTGTGAAATTCCAGCCTTCTACTACTAAGTAACACTGCCAACATTCTCTTGAAAGTTGGAATATCACATCCCTTGCTATTCCTAGTTCTGTTCAACTAAAAGATTTTAAAATGTAAGTTAGATACCACCTCACACCAGTGAGAATGGCACTTTTTTTTTTTTTAAGATTTATTGATTTATGTATACAGAACTTGGGGTACAGGCCAGAGGTGCAGGAGTGGTGAGAGGATTCACCAGAGGCAGAGTGGGAGCAGAACAGGCAGATCGACGAAGTACAGTGCTGAGGAGAACAGTGGGCGAGACAGGAGAGGTCTGTTGTGCCATGTGGATCACCTCCAGGCCAGGGATCAAACTTGCACTGAAGCGGCTGTAGCTAGCTTGCAGTGCTGCATCCTAACCCCTTGCACTAGCAGGGAGGACCTGAGAATGGCACATTTAAAAACTAGCAACAACAAATGTTGATAAGGATGTAGAGAAAAAGGAACTCTCCTGCAATGTTGGTGGGAATGCAAGCTAGTACAACCACTATTGAAAGTTGTTTGGAGTTTTTCAAACTGCTAAAAATGGAGCTTCCATGAGAGCAAACCCACTCCTACATGCCTACCCAAAGGACACAAAAACACTGATTCAAAAGGAAACCTGCACCCCCATGTTTATTGTTACTCTATTTACAATAGTAAAAATATGGTGAACCCAAATGCCCAAAAGAAGATGACTGGATTAAAAAGATGTGGTACATATACACAATGGAATGTTACACAGCGATAAAAAAAGATAAACTCATGTCTTCTGCAGCAACATGGATGGAGCTGGGGTCAGAGTGGGGGGGGGGGAAGCAATTCTAATAAATAAAAAAAAACTAAAAACAACAAACAACTATATACCGGAGACATTTTATCGGGGTGGAACAGGAATAGTAAAATGAAGTAGGAAAGGTGAATGGAACTGGTGATGGCACATAGGTAAACTGGTGGTGAGAAGTTCATGGGGATTACAACCGTGATGGAAAAGGCACAAAATGAAGAACAATGTAAAAATAGATTTAAAAAAAAAAAGTCAGAATACAACAGCATTTGGGAGGCCTAGTTTATAAATTTCAATTTCAGCTCTATTATAACCTAAGCCCTATCTTAGCATCTCTGGTCTATTTTCCTTACATGAAGGGCTAAGGAATCAAGGTAGCAGAGGTTCTCCATTCTGGCATACATTAAAATAATCTGAGAATTTTTTTAAAAGTATTTATGCCTAAAATCTACCTCATCTCTATTTATACTTAAAATTTCAAAGACTAGTATGTATCAAAAGTTCTTTGGTGAACAGACATTTCTCCATAGAGATATAAACTGTCATTAAGCACATGAAAAATGTTAAACATCATTAGTTGTCAGGGAAATCCAAATAAAAATTGTAAACAAAATAATACTTTACACTAATTAGTCTAACTATAAAAAAAAAAAAATTGGTGAAGGTATGAAAAGGGCACTCCCTGGTGGTACAAGGGGTTAACGCACGATAATGAAGCTGTCCGTAGCCACTGCACTACAGTTCAATCAATGGTCAAGGAAGTGGCCCACAAGGCACAGCAGATCTCTCCCATCTCACCTGCTGCTCCCCTCAGCAATGTGTATCAGTCAATCTGCCTGTTCTGTTCTCCACCCCATCTCTGTTAAATCCTCTCACCCATCCCCATCACACATCTGTAGCCTGTACCTAAGTTCTTGTATGCATAAATAAATAAATCTTTAAAAAAAATTAATAAATATGTGGAGAAACTGGGATTCTCTCACTGTTCATAAAAATGTAAAATGGTAACTTGCTGTAGAAAAGTCTGGTAAATCATCAAAAGGCTAAATAGTTATCACAGAATTTAGCTATTTTCACTCCCAGATACAGATAAGAGGAATGAAATTATATGTCCACACAAACACATTACATAAATGTCCATAATAGCATTATTCATAAAAACCAAAAAGTGAAAATCCAAGTGTTCATCAATTTTTTTAATGAAAAAGCAAAATGTGGTACTTACATATGCACAATGAAATGTTACTCATGAAAAAAACTAATGAGATGATATGTAAATGAAAGATAAATCTTTAAAACATTATGCTAAGTAAAAGAAAATAGTCACAAAATACCACATTATATGATCCAACTTATATGAAAATGTCTTGAATATATAAGTCCATTGAGATCAAAAGTAGATAATGGCTGCCTAGGGCAGAGTGCTGGGGTAAAATAGAGGTTGTCTATTAATGTGCGCAGGGGGTAACAAACATGTTCTATAGTTTGTTATATTTATAGTCATACAACTCTGTGACTGTACTATAAACCACTAAACTGCAAATGCTAAAAGGGTGAATTTTATGATATGTGAATGATCTCTTACTAAAACTATGAATAAGAGATAAAGTTTTTAGGTTCATTCTAATAAGCAACCAGAGTTACATTAGAAAAGCACATGTGTCCATTTTAAACTTAAAATCAAATCCTGACTCAGTCACACACCAAAAATATAAACTTGGACAGCTCACTTAATCTTACTCTTTATTTGCCTCAGTGTCTGTAGCTGTAAACTACAAATGCTAATCTTAATAGTGGTTAACTGTTTACATGAGAAAATGCACAAAGAACTTATATCGTATAGTGTATGATCACAATGGAAGTAGTAAAGATGGTATTCAATCAACTAGACAAGCTACAGAATAGTGTTTCTCTACCTCAACTACACATTGGAATTAAGTGGGAAATTCTAAACATGCACTGATGCCTGGGTGTCCTTCCCAAAGACTTTAGTTTAGAAAGTCAGGCAAGATTTCTTCCTGGTTTCAGTAGCATTGACCCTGCCACTCCCTACCCTTCCACCTCCATAACCACACACAGCTGTCTAGTCTCAAGTATCAATTACCCAACGAAGCATTCTCTCGCCTCCAGGGCAAGTTAGGTTTGACCCATTATACATTCTTATAGAAATCCATATTTAATTTCCAAATACTCAGTATACTTCCAATTACTTGTCTGATGTGGAATACCAGCCTGTATTTCAAAGATTACATGCTAAGTTGTTATGTCAATACTTCATTTAAGGTAGCATTTCAAAAACTTTACCTCTCACTTAGACACTGTAATGCCATTTTTATCACATAGGTAAGAAATTAAAATACGATGCCACCCAAAGAGTTAGGCTACATATACAGACTCTAGGAGCATAAATTCCTAAAAAGAATCCTTTTAAAAATGTTTGTAACCACAAAATAAACTCAAGTAATAATTATGATTCAGGCAACCCTGGAAATGATGAACCTTTAACTTTATCACCAAAGTAAAGCAACTTTAAATTTTAGTTTGAAGCAAACTAGACTTGTAACCATTTTTAAAACTATCTTTAAATTATATCGAAGTTCCATCTTACCTGGGAATGTACTTATTCATGATAGCATAAAAGCAGTTGTATAAATCACTGCGTGACAGTTGAAGATGCACCAATGGTTTTAGTAGATGTATCCAGCTAAGAGATGTGCTATATTTTATATTACGTGATTTACAATAAAAGGTAATTACAGATTCAATATCCAAACGTAATTCTGCTGCTTTTTCTTCTGGCACTGAAAGGTGGCCTAGAAAATAAATGTCAAAATAAAATTAGCAAGGGCCTGTCAGAAGCTCAGTTATTGGACATGAATTCACAAACATACACTATACAATGTTAGCATGTTTAGAAAATGACATATGCAAAGTAAAACTACATTAAAGTACAGTTTTCCTTATAATCATTCAGTATTTCATAATGTGATAATACCAATTAACTCTAGACAATTTTTGTGAATAATAATATATATGCTAAATATAAAAATGGATAATCTAAAGTAAAGGGGAAGGAAAGGCAAACATTAACGCATGTTTCCGAAAACAAAACAGTGTTTTTTAAACAATAGATTGTCATGTACACCAAGGAAGTCTGTTGCCACTTATAACATTGGCAAGGGGAAGGAAAGGGATTCATTTTATACTATCCAATTCCTTTCTTTTTCTCCATACCAGTAGTAATGTTTCTGCTGTTATTAGTACATAAAAGCCTATTTAGTTCAATAACTTATCTAAAATATGATGGAAAGAAATGAAAAGACAACTAAATTCATTTAATCTTGAAAAACCCTTGTGAAATTATTGAAAACCTATTCATCCATGCCTTATAATAGTTTTTCTATAGTAGTGAATGACTTCTGACCTTTAGAACAGACTTCTTTAAGGACTGTGTACTATCATATAGATGTTTCATTATACAGATAACAATTTACAAATTGCAACAAAATTGTAAATGTATCTGAAGAATTTAAAATCTAGTGCAAAAGAAACACTGAAAGCTGGGCTCTCTTTAAATACTAGAAATCATTTTCTAAGAATTTGAAAAGTTCAAAATCTATCAGTATTTTACAAATTCACCTTATCCCACATCAAAACAGGATGAATCTACTAAACAGTTATTCTCTACTCAAAAATGCTCACTATTTGAAAACAATTATTAAACTTACCAATAAATTCTAAACAATCTTTGTGAATAACATTCTGTTCTGGCAAATCTAAAACACCATCCCATGATGCCAAACTATCGCCTTTTCCTGCAACATTTAGTGCAATCTGGAAGAAAGATTAAAAAAGCAACTAGCTTCATATCTCATTCTTGGAAAAGATGCTGTAGTAATAGAAAGGTCTGAATATAGGAAAAATAATGTAGATTTCAAAGATGACAAAGTAACAGATTTATATACCAGAGCTAAGCCCTTCTTTAGTAATATCACAATGAAGTAACATAATTATTTTACATCTTCCTATATTAAATTTTACTTCATGTCAATCCACTAGACAGAATGAATTACACCAAAAACCGACAGAATTACATCAGTAAATTTATTTCAAGTAAATATCAATTCTATAGATTAAACCTGCTTCCTCCCTCCCCATTTTCATTATTACTAAAACTTAACCCCCACCATGATAGTATTTGGATGTGAAGCTTTCAGGAGGCAAAGAATTAGCACCTTATAAATGAGAGCAGGAGCTCCCCTACCTTTTTAGAAATGTAAAGACTCATTTAAGGAATTATCGTTCTTTTAAGTTTAATGGTATTAAGGCTATTTTAAAAGCTTTTATCTTTCATATTTTCATACTGAAATTTTTTAGTGTGCTGCAAAGGGCTTCCTTTAAAATAATCCAGTAGGTGAATACTAATTAAGCAAGATGGGCCCAATGTTGATAGTTAAAATTAAGTGATGGGTATATCCTCATGTACCCATGCTCATTATCAAATCTCTTTACTTTTGTGTGTTTAAATTCCTATAATAAAACATACAGAAGGCTATGTACATTTATAATTCCATTTTTATTACATAATGTTTATATATAATGTAGATGGTAAAAGACATTATTGTGTATTTTACCGATAAGTGACAGATAATAGACATTTTTTTCACCTTATCTCTTGCTTATATGTTTTCACAAGATAAACATTTCTTTTATAATCATAAGAAACCCTTAATTTTAAAATTAAAAAGTGACAGCACACATGCACTGGAGAGAAACTGGAGTGAAGTAAAGCAAAGGAAAACCTGAAATTCTAACACACAAAGACCTATATTCCCTACCCCATTTTTTAAACATAACTAACACCATTCCTGCACTTAAAGAGCCTATTTTGCTATTTATTCACTATCTCACTAAGCAGGCCTCAAAAAATTGCTTCTAGTAACTCCAAGGAAAACATGGCCTTTCAAAATATCAATTATTAAATATACCAACACCACAGAAGCACATATATAGTAAAGTTGTTATGTTTGATAATTTTCTTAGATTTGTCATAACTTTTCTATCACCAAAATAACTGAAAATAAGTTACTAAACACCAACCTTAAGTGATTAGATTTTATTTATTTTAATGACTTGTTACCTTCCAAACTTTGGCCCTCAGATAAACAGGCAGTGGTCTTCCTTGAATGATATTTCTCAGAGTTTCAAGATCACAACCTCCTGCTTCCAGAGCTTCTTCAAGGTCTTTTTCCCTAAAAAAACAAGTCCTACATATTAAGACATTTTAATTCTTTTTTTTTTCATGAAAGAATCATTTACAAGCACAACCTATTGGATGTTGTGTCTTAAGAATGTACTGCATTTTGTGGTGGGAATGCAAACTAGTACAACCACTATGGAAAAGGAGCTTCCCTATGACCCAGCAATCCCACTCCTAGATATCTACCTAAAAGACACAAAACCACTGATTCAAAAAGATACCTGCACCCCATGTTTATTGCTGCTTTATTTACAATTGGAAAAACATGGAAGCAGCTCAAATGCCCAAAAGTAGATGACTGGATTAAAAAGATGTGGTACA